GATAAAAAGGAAAAGTCCAGGACTCAATGGCTTCACTGCCATCTCAAATTATTCCAAAACATTGAAGAAGTGGGAAATCTTCCCAACTCATTTGTATGAGGCCAGCATTAACTGACAATGAAACCAGAGAAGGACACACACACATACACACACACACACACACACACACAAAGCTATAGGCAATGCTCCTGATGAATGTAGATACAAAATACTGAACTAACAAAACTCAATTAACAAACGTATTGAAAACATTATTCACCATGATCAAATAGGATTTATTATGGATCCGCAAGCATGTTTCAATATATGAAAATCAATACATGTAATACACCATAGTAACAAAATGAAAGATAAAAACATTTGATTATCTTACTATATGCAGAAAAATAATTTGATAAAATGTGACAATTGTTTATGATTTTTAAAAGCCTAAAAAAATAAAAAGTCTAAAAACATTAGGGACACAAGGAACATAACCCAAAATAATAATGGCTACAGGCTGGCCAGAAGACAGAGTCCACCATCCCAATTGCCTCTATTATACCCTAGAGGGTGAGCCAGCTGAAAGAGTGTACAACAGATGGGAACCCCAACACTGATGACCCCAGCGGGGTGCACAGATGCACACACTCCTCTGAAGGGCAAAGTAATCAGGGAAGCATCTGAAGGAGCAGCATAGCAACTGGACTCTGGAGAATTCCACCAACTGAAGGCCATCCCCAGGCCCCATCCAGTGGCTAAGATCGGCTCCACACCCAGCACTTCTCTGGGAGGTAACACAGGCATTATCACTATAACGGCCAGAAGAAGAAATTGAACACAGACACCCTGTCTTAGTTACTTTTTACTTGTTGCTGAGACAAAATACTTGATGCCCAAAGCTGGGAAAGGAAAGGTTTATTTCTTACACTTTTTGGAGGTTTCAGACTCAGTTGGCTCCAAGGCAGGGTGGCATGGCAGGGCCGCAGTTCATGGCAGCTGCAAACAGCAAGGCAGAAACCTGCAAGAGAAAGAGACACACCTTCCTCCTGCCATTACATCACATCCTGACTCCACCCCTAGGCGGGAGTAGCACTGACATCATCAATCCTAGCACTAGACAATGAACCGGTCATTTGGTTACTATGGTGTATTACATTTATTGATTTTCATACATTGAAACATACAGGGATTCGGGGAGGTGCTGGGCAGGCTTCTCTAGATGCATGTGGCTATACTGAAGCGCCCCTAGTGGCAGCAGGAGCACAGGAGCTGGCCTGGGAATGGTTTGGACTCACATGGGTTAACATCTTGTTGTCTCCTTTGTATAAAAAACTGAAGGAGTTAGTGGGATCCAAAATGAACAACAGATATTGTGAAAGTAAAAGGAGAGGAAATAGCTAATAAAGGAAGGTAGTAGTCATTGTTAATTTCCTATTAACTTGTTTTGAAGTGCTTTATCATTTTCATTATTTTGTTTTGATTGGTTTTATTCTGTTTTGTTTGACTTCATTATGTCTGATGGTATGGGCAGTTATTTTAAAGGTAACAAGAAGTGTTATGATAACTATTGTTGATTTCCTATTATCTTGTTTCAAAGTCCTGTAATGCTTTCATTGCTTTGTTTTGCTTGGCTTTATTCTGTTTCATTTTGTTTGGTTTATTATCTTTAAAATATAATTAAAAATAAAATAATAATAGCAAGAAGCTAACAACTAACAGCATAGCAAATGAGGAAAAGATAAAGAGTTTCTCTTTAAAATCTGGGCTAAAATGCTCACTTTCAACATCTTTTATGACAGTGATAGAAAGCCTAACCATAGCCATCAAGCAGTATGAAGAAATGAAGAATCAAAACTGGAAAAGAAAGTAATTGCCACTGCTTACAGATGACATGTTGTTATATATAGAAAATTCCCAAAACACCACCAAAAAACTGTTACAACTAATAAATGAATTCACCAAAATTGCAAGATACAAAACTAATATAGAAAAACCAGTAGCATTTCTATATAACACTAGTGAATTATTTGAAAAACGATCAAGACAGTGATTCCACTTCTTAAAGGTACAAAAGAAATAGAATAGAAATAAACTTAAAATGAAATAAACTTAAAGAGGTGATGTATCTCTATAATGAAAATTTTAAAACATCAATGGGTAATATTGAAAAGGACACAAAATACAAAAAAAAGTTACATGTTAATAGATTGCAATGCTAAATTTAGTAAAATGCCCATCCTAATCAAAACAGTATACAGAATCAATCTAATCCTTGTCAACATACCCAAAGCATTTTTTGAACAAAAAGAACAAATGAGGAGAAAATTACACCGAGTCCAAAATATATGACATTCATCACACAGAGTTAGTACATGTATATAACATAGCATAACTTTATTTTTGTTGATTTGAGTAACTATTTGCTTCTTAAAATCTCTGGCAGACAAGTGGACAAAAAAAGATGGTACATCTTCATAGGGCAGTTAGAAAATGTAACATTACCAGAGAAGAGAAGACATGATACTATACAGCTGCAAGATGACAATTTTTTAATAGTGTTTGGAAAAGAATTAAACAGGTATAAAGCTGAGCTTTAGGCGAAACAAAGAAAAGTGCTCTGAATATGATTGAGAAGACAAACGAACAGTTCTGGGAATATTTTCAGAAAGTCAGTAGACTAGCGGCAGTGATTCTTATCTTTGGATGACCATGACAACCTTCAGGGAGGCATTTCAACACTTCAGTTGCCTAACTGCCCCCCACCAACTAGGTTGTCAAAATCATAATCTCTAGGAATCAGATGTGGGTACATTTATGACTTTAAGTTCTTAGTGATTCCAATCAGCAGCCAAGGCTTGGACCACCAGACTCAACAGGTAGACTTAGATGCTGATTCTTCATCATTTTTGGATTATGTAAAAATCTTAGTAAGCAAAGTCATTAACTTTCAAAGGAACAATAATAAAACTAACATTTTCTGTACAAAGCTCCTGAGTTTCCCGACACATTCTTGTACACCACCAGTGGAACAGGTGACCATACCACATATAAGAACTGAACTGCAGCTCTGATAGAGTCTACTGGCTAGCAGACCTATAAACAAGAGGCTATTGGATCTCTGCACTCCTCTACAGCTGTTGAAAATTCAGAACAACTCTGCAACAGCTGTAGATAGAGCCTGTCCTTTTCCAGCCACTCAAAGAAACACTTGCCACACCAAGCAGCTGTCCCCTAGCAGGAATGACTCAGCCTCTGGCACGGATCACAAGCAGCTGCTGAGATCAGCTGCAAGGTGAAGGGGAGGACAGGGAAGCTCTTCTGTAGCCACCGTCAGCTCCCCAGGAAACCTCTTCATCACTCCCCGTGTCAGGTGGGTGGCATGAAACACAGAAGTGAGAAGGTTGGTTAAAAAAAAATCACAAACAAATACCTGCAAATGAAATAACTATTTAAGACAAAAACACATACTTTGACACGAAGTTCTTCCTAAATTCCCACTTTCTGAAAATCTTAAAAAGCCTTGCAATTTTAAAATTTATTCACAAGATTCACTTGCTGTCTTCTTAGCCATTATTCTTTTTAAAAAATCTTGGCTTTAACAAATTTCTTCTTTGCATTGGAGAGGTTTATAAACATGAGCTAAGAATTTTTAACCCACTTGAAATGAATGAATTCTTCAGCAGTAGTTCACATATTTTTCAAATGTATTTTTCATAAATTGAAAGTACACTTAAAACTGTTAACAACTTCTGGAGCTTGGAATATACATTTCAGTTTCTTTAGCAATGAGTGAACGCCACCAAGCAGTGGGAGAGAACTTCAGTTCTGAAAGCAACAAGGTCCTAAGCCCATCTTAACAATTAATTTTCATCTGTTATCACAAAATAATGTTCTTATTTCATTCCCCGGCTCTCTTACACTCCTATGCTTCAGATGACTTCTGGTTTGATTCAGCTCATCATCGTTTTAGTTCTAGATACGAATCTACAGTAAAAGGTGCAAACTAAGGATAGTTTGAAGCAATCCCATAATGATTTCATGTAGTTATGGTTCAGCATGTATAGATACAAAATGACATCAATTGAATCTATTCTGCCTTAAAGCCCTAGTTGTATCTGTAAGGTTGCAAATACAGTATTTTAACACCACTATCAAAGTCATTTTGAAATCAATTCTTTCCCTCAGGGTGAAATATACGTTTTGTACAGTTTTTATCAGGCTGCACAAGAGAGAATACATGCATACAAAAATATACTTTTGGACTCAAGAAAGGCAGATTCAGGAGAATTAAAGAAAGATCAAAGAAGCACTATGTTGATAATCAAAAGGTGAACAATGGAACGCAGAGAACGAGGGTGAAAGAGAAGAATCTATGAAAGCAATTTCTCTTACAAACCACAGAATTCAACTGACAATGATTTACTCAAAACAATATTAACACTTGGCAGGAGCCACTTTAGGATGAAACCACAGTTTCAAAAGACGTGTTTAGAAGTCTGCCCCTCTCCCCACGAGGAAGGAGCTTGGTGGTGAAGTACTCGCTTAGCATGCAGGAGGCATGGGTTCAAACCCTGATACCACCAAAACCTAATACCCCTCCGCAGCGACTCCGCAGGCCTTTATTCCTGGACAAGATCTCTCAAGTGAATGGTGATGAAGCTAAAGGGGAGACCTGTATCCACATGGCACCTGTTCAGCATTCACGGCAAACATGGATCTCTTCTTCCAAACACATCCAGTGTAGGAGCTGAATTTTACTGACCTGAATTAGACCAAAAGCCCTGCTCTGAGCTAAACTGGGATGAAGGAATATACCTAGACAGCCAGGTCACTAGCTCATTTCTAGATCTGGAGAGGAACAGAGTTATTCCTACCTAAATTACACAGACTGAAAGTGGAGAAAAGATTATAACTCAAAAGAAAAACCTATGCAGTACAGACAGGAATATGTGCACACACACACACACACACCACCACCACCACCACCACCACCAGCACCACCGCCACCACCACCTACGTAACAGCAAGCACACACACGTGCATACCTTACATCATCCAGCACTGTTGATAGAGTCCGTATAGAGGACTATTTCAGAAAAGGTTTGATAAGTGACTGTTTAATAAAGGTATGGTCAGGGAAAAGACCCAAAGAACAGAAACAAAACAAGACAACAAGTATTAGAATCTGGACAAATGGAATATTTTTTAAAATGTTCACCTTGGAGAAAACAATCACTTTTTATGAAGAGGCAGAACCAGCTGGAGGTAATGTGTCAGGCAGGAAGCAAGAGGGTCAAACACTGCAGCTTCTCTTCCTCCCTCCCTCTTATTTCCACTGGGAATCGCCACTCACCAGGTGCAGCAGGGATACAGAGGCAGGGCAGCGCTCAGAGAATGGTAAAGAGGGAGGAGGAGAAGAGGAGGAGGAGCAGGAGGACAAGGAGGAGAAGAAGGAAAGAGTATATCTGCTGCACCAAACAAGATATCCAGCACACAACCATTGCAAAAAGGTAGTTTATCAAAAAGGTGGTTTATAACAGTATTCACTGTAAATGTATGGCAAAACCAATTCTGTCACCATAAATGTCCACTTATCATTATAGCCACATTTCTTGATAGAAGAAGTAACCTACCCTCTTGTTTCTCATAGTCCATTCACTCCACAATAATAAGTTGGCTTTTGCTCCAAAGGCTTTATTTCTTTTCCAAGATCAGTAGCAGCAATAATACCTAAAACATGTTAGAAATGCAAATCAACCAGCCCTAACCAAGAGCTATTTGATCAAAAACTCTCAGAAGCTGGAATACAGTAATCTGTGGCTTTGCAACCTATGCAGGTGGTTCTGAAGCATGGCACTAGAGAAACTGCCGATTCTAAGCACTCCACCGGAGAGCCACCAAACTATACTCTTGGAAGTTTTCTGGGCTTATGTTTACTGACCTTTACTTTGACTTTATTTATGTGGCATTTCACAACGTCATATCTTCTGCAGGAAAAATCCTTTCTGTCCTCTCATATACCTGTATTAAATCATAAAACAGTACTACCCATCCTCTGGTACACATTGGGAAGAAAAACCACAGCATTCTGCCTTTTCATAAAAAGTGATTGTTTTCTCCACTGACCATATCCCATACCTTCCTAATACTGATAAGCATTTGATTGACAATAAGCAGAGTAAATGAAATAAAGTCATGTTGCATTGTGAACTTGTTTTGTTTTGTTTTGTTTTAGGTTGCTCGCTTACAAGCTTTAGGGCACTAAGGGAAAATGAAGCCAAGGGTTTTCCAACCATTGTGTCTGCTGTTAAAATATAACTCAGGAAGAAAATAAGAAGGAGCCCATTTGGGCCTCAAGTCTAAGACAAACCTTCCAATTTGCTTTTATCAGTAGCACTGCTATTTCAATCTTTGTCTGACTCTTAAGCATATTTTTCCATTTAAAATCTGTAGTGGTTGTTTGTGTCAATTTGCGACATTTAGAAGCTTAACTAAATGGGCTTAGTAACTCTATACTCTAGGTGTAGACGACCCACCCTAGGGTGGCTCACTGCCTGGATGATGTAACAGGAACAGAGGAGCTCGCTTCAGCAGCACATATACCAAAAGGGAAGGACAGGTGAGGTTCCATCCTTCAGAGAAGCGCCAGTCTTCGCCTTCAACTTAGACTTAGTCTCCTGGCTGCCAGCATGTGCTCTTCAGCTTCTGCCCTCCAGCGTAGCCCTTTCAGCCTTCCTTCGCAGACCCATCGGCCTCCTGGTGTGGACTCCCACAGGGACACTGCAGTGAACTCCAGGCCTTGGATTGAATCCTTTGACCTCCAGCATGCAGACATCCTCTGTACACTTCCTCATCTGACTCTGTGGCTGACCGTAGGAAGCCAATCTTGTAACTTCTTATACATTTGTATATCTTGTTATATCTGTTTCTCTGGTAAAATGCTGGCTAATACAGAATCCAATGAAACTAAGGAAAGAATGTAGTTACTTATCCTAAATCCCCAACACAGGGTGCATTGGTTTCAAATCTACATGCAGATGAGACCCAAGACTTAGCAACGGAAGATCAAAATGCGTTATGGACAGGTTGAATTTGCTAAGATAGCTAAAATTAATAGCCATAGCCCAGTAGTGGCTTTGTGGATCTTTGAACTTCTAAGTTAGCAGAAATTGGTATTATTGATGAATTCTACGTAAGTGGGGGAAGTAAAAACAAGCTCAGGACATGGAATCAAAAACTTTAATCTGGTGAGCAAGTAGCGAGTTGGAGCTTTCAGCAAGACATTAACCAGTGCTCTTGTGCACTGAGCTATAGTGCATTTAACCAGAGGAGCTGTTCATCTTAGCAGTCATTACGGGCACTTTGGAATGATCAGATAAAAGAAGAAATATGATCCTAGTGTAACTATGATGCTCTGTCCTGAGGTTAGAGAGGTTTAAGTTAAAGAAGCTTTGAGACACTACCCCATCTCCTAGAACTCAGTCCTATACAGAGTAAGTCATTTGCTAAAACCAGGACATTTTTCCATCAGACTGAACAAAAGTTGATGCACGCACTGTTGGGAGGCATCTTGGTTCACTATAGGAAACACCAGTTGGAGTCAAGTAGCTCCTTATCTGTGCAAGTTCAAGCTTTGGGACTCCTGAACATTGTAGAAAAATTCTAAAGGACGTGTACGTGTTTCCACTCTTGTTTTATGTCTTGCTGATGCTAAATGATCAATAACTGGGGAAAAAAGATAAAATCCTACTAAAAGAGGAAGATCAGTGGTAGAGACAAAACCACCAAAATCATAAAGATAAGGGTGAGGTGTGCAGCTCAGTGGCAGAAACTTGTTCAACACATCCAAGGCCTTGGATTAATCCCCACTATTGGGGGGGAAAAGAAAAACAGAACAAAGCAGACCTAGTAATAAGGAAGATAAGAATGAAAAACGTGTAAAAGTTTAAGTAGCACATTTCATGGATTCCTTCTTTCCATTGTATTTCTGCTCTTGTAGCCTTGAAAACCTAGGACTTGGGGAGGTGAAAACTGACTGCTCTCATGAAGAAGCAAAACCAAAACTCAACCTATCACTGTCTCTCTGTCCCTCACTGTCTCTCTGCTTTTGTCTCTGTCTGTCTCTCCTCCTTTCCTTTATTGCCCTGCCCTCACTCCTCTCCTCTTTTCTTCTGGGACCACTAATACATGATCCTTGACTAACATCTGCAGTGAAGGCCAATGTAGGTTACACTTTAAACCATGATTATAATATTTCCTGTGATTGCTATTATTGTCTTCTCCAATCTTATTGCTCCAAAATGAAAAAAAAAAAAAAAAAAAAAAGACAAGGTAAATAAGGTGTTGGTGACAACTTGCTTGCTCTTCGGAAAAGTTAAGTTGATAAAAGTCTTTTTGCAAGCTCCCTCTTTTAAAATACCCCATCTTCCTGTGGTAACTATGATCCCGTTCTCACCCAGTATTTACTCAAATCCTTCCTAGTATCCTTTATTAACTGCAGTCCTGCCATAGTCCATCCATCTTTTCATTGGGTTACTCTCCATCAGATATTTGGCCTTTTAAAATACTTTTCTAAGCCGGATGTGGTGGCTCACACCTGAAATCCCAGTACTTGGAAGGCTGAGTTGGGAGGATCTTTGCTAGTTTGAGACCAGCCTGGGCTACAAAGTGAGCTCAAGGCCAGCCTGAACTGCATATCAAGACCCTGTATCAAAAAAGACCAAAAAAAAAATCTTTTCTAAAACATAAGTGGAGACATAACTCTTCAATGTAAATTCTTTTAATAGATTTCATTAGTTTTCAGCAATAATTTTGAACTATTTAGATTAAAATATGAAGCCCTTCATCATCTGGTCCCCTTTGATCTCCTCTAAATACATAGGAGGGAAATGACTGAGTATACATATCTTAAATATTACTTCAATAGCAATGTGGATGAAAACAATAGGTAAATGGGGAAATACTTGTTGAATGAATTAAAGACACAAAAAAATGAGAATACTGGATCTTGACTGTTAAAAACTGTATTGAAGAACAGAAAGGGGAAGAGCAACTCAAGAAATAACAATAATATCTATCCGAAGATGGCGGATAGATAATAGCAGGGCACAGAGGCTCCCTGAGATAGTCAACTTAGAATTCAACATAATACGGCATGGGGAGTCCCAAACAGAGGGAGATGAATTATCTCATCCCAAGAATAAACTAAGGTAAGAAGAACCAATCAAACATACAGTCCTGGTGCTACTATTGGAACAGCTAAAGGCTCAGTGCTCCTGCTGTAGCACCCGAGCTGTCTGAAATCCCTCTGCTTTGACTCAGTGGAAACACAGTCACACTGAGATTAGGGGTCTGCAAGCCAAAGGGAGAGCTGAGCTAGCAGGGAACCTGCATCGACCTGTGGTGAGTGACGGGAGTAAAACCATCCCTCAGAAAAAGGGGCTCCAACAGATGACATTCTGGACCCAGGCAGGACTGGCAAAAACAAGGGGCAGCAGTGATTTCAGTCAGTTGTTCCCTTCCCAAATGGGATTGGTGGAGTAAGCTTGGCCTGGGTCACGCAACCTGGCTGAGACCGAATAGGTTATCCGAAATCAGTTCCTTATGGTGGCAGCACACACTCACGCAGACAAAATATCAGAAGTTTGACTAACCCAGAGGGGAGGCAAAGCACAGTAATACAGTGCAGGCCTCAGCAGCTTGACTGATCTGGAGGGGAGGGGCCAGCACAAGCTGCCCCTGTTTGCAACTCACTAGCACAGTGCAGAGGGAAGGGTCACCTAGCCAGGGTGCTTCATAAGAATTGTAACCAACAAAGAAAGAAACTGGGGCCTCCTGGAAGAAACCAAAAAGATGGGAAGAGGAAGCTACAAGAAAAAGTCCTGAGGGCCCAACCCTGAAAACATTGACCCAGGACAGGTAAATGCAAAGGAGAATGAGGACAACAAACATTCAATATCAGACATAGCACCAGTGGGCATAAAGAGATATCTTCAGGACCTCATAGATGAGTTTAAAAAGGAAATATTTAGCCAAGTAAAGCAAGATACAAGAAGATTAATAAAAGAGGTGCTAAGCACCCTTCAAGAAGACACAGACAGAAGAATGGAGGAACTCAAAGGAGAGAACTATTTGATGAAGAATATAAAGAAAATACAGAATACATGAAGCAGATTCAAAGAGATTACCAGGAAATTAAAAACTCTATGGACAGATGGGAAAACAGCTTGAAAGAAACTAAGGATAGATTATTCAAACTGGAGAATAGGTTTGCAATGTGGGATTATGAAAGGAAAAACTTTTTAAAATAGCAAGGAAACAAGCATTAACAATAAAAAGGCTAGGAGATAACAAGAGGATCTATAACTTCAGAACAAAGAATGTGAATGAAGAAGCAGGGCTATAAACAAAGGAACTACAAAGGCTATTCACAGAAATAATTAAGGAAAACTTTCCAAACATAGGAAAAGAAAATGATATGCAGATGTATGAGGTATACAGAACTCCAGCCACAGACAACGAAAACAGAACTACAACCAGGCATATAATAATCAAGATCCCAGAAATTCAATATAAGAACAGAATATTAAAAGCTGTTAGAGACAAGAAACAGATAACCTATAAAGGAAGGCCCATCAGAAAAATGGCAGACTTCTCAACACAAACCATCAAGTCAAGAAGAGCCTGGAGTGAAGTATTCCAAGCCCTGAAAGAAAATAATCTCCAGCCCAGATTGATATACCCTACAAAACTGTCTCTAGAGATTAATGGAGAAACAGGATGCCTCCAAGACAAAGAGAAACTTGAAAAATTCGCAACCACATATCCAACTCTACAGAGAATACTGTGGAGCATTTTAGAGAGAGAGAAAAGTACTAGGATTCCAGGAACAGTGGCAGAGAGGCCTCAATGAATGGAGCAGAAAACAGAATGAAGAAGACAAGCAGGCAACTAATGCAAAAAAAGAGCATAACAGAAATGAGGCAGAGAAGGTTGGTTATAATCTCTAATATAGATGGCCTTGATACACTAAATTAAAAAGAAACACACATAGAGTAGATCAGGAGGTAAGTTCTCCCAAGAGGCTATTTTTAGGAAATATAATTAACATGAAAAAGAGTACATAGACTTAAAATCAAATATGAGAAAACAATGCTCTATGTGACAGAGAACCAGAGAGTAATAGGGGCAACTAGACCAGCATTTGTGGATAGGTTGGAAAGACAGGCTTTAATAGGTAAAGGAATACAGTTAGAGATTAAATCCAGGAGAGAAAAGGTTTGGAACCACTTAGGTAAATAGCAGGTTGCCCCTCCCCACACACACTTTAAAACCACAGGTCTTGGTCAGACCCAAAAATGCACAGTGTACCCTGGGGAAGAGAAAGGGGAGGGAGAGTCTTAAAAAAGATGGCAGAAGATATTTTTAATAGTGTATCAGAATTTAAAACCCACATTACTCACACAACTCTGCTTACATAGATTTTATTCTGTTCCAGTTTGTCTACTTGCATTAGATTTGAGGGCACAGACAGCTATCCCAAAAACATCAGGATATAGCACAGTAATCATCTTTAATTTACTATTAATCTGGAGCCCTTTATGACTTATACTGTTTTATCATGACTGATCTTAGTTAAATCTGGTTTGTTTGATTGCTGTTTAGTATCAACAGATTTTTTTTTTGTCTTTTTCCTTTTTATTGGTACAAGGGATCAAACTCATGACTGCCTGCTTGCAAGGCAGGCTCTTATGCCGCTGAGCTAAATCCCCAGCCCCTAGATTTTTTCAAAACTGATATGATTGATAATATCAAGTCTGAGAGTATAGGCAACTACACTGAAGATGACAAGATTTACTACAATTTGGTTTGATTTACTACATTCTGGTTTGATTATTGCCTGTTTTTGAAGTTCTATACTATATACAAAGTTGTGTTTTTATTAATACTGTTACGTACTGATATATTCAATTATACTATGCCTGATGATATAGCTAAATCTATTGAAGATTACAAGAGACAACACAGGAACTATGGTAGAACTCCTTGTACAACGGTTTTATATGTCTTGTTTATTTTATGTGTTTGTAGGAATATGTTTTGTTTTGTCTTGCTTTGTTTTGTTTCTCCCTCTAACATAGAAAGGATAGAAATACATGTTAAGACTCATGCATGTATAGAACCTATAAACAGTTTATGAGAACGATCTTATGACATATGATGAAACAAACAAATACTTTGAAGAAAAAGGGACACTAAAGTACTCAGTGCTGATCCTGGAGTGTCTTATTGTGAAACCCGGCAATAGTATTATTCTTTATTCAGAGTGATATTAGCCTGCTTGGGTTTGTTCAATCTCAACACAATTGAAGATATGGATAACTGCATGTATGTTTAAGTGTATAGGATTAATAACCATATTTCTAAGTATTTGTTGGATAGTTGAACAGAACTGTTTGCAGTCTCGCTCTTTGAATTCCCACTTTATATGTTCCACTTTTGAATTTTGAACAACTATTTGTAGGAGGACAGTACGTAAACATAAGCTAGTATTTTCTTCCTGTTTATTTTTTCTTTGAATGTATGTATTATTTCTACCTATTTTCTGTTTTTAGTCTTTCTTTAAATAAAATTTTAAAAAAGAAATAACAAAGAAGTAAAATCTACAGCAAAGGTGACGAATTAAGTGAGACTAGAGACTAAAGGCAGGGTAATATCTGGAATTTTTTTTTTTTTTTGGTCTAACTAGTTGTATCATTTTTCAAGAGAGAAACATCATAAGGAAAAACATTTTAAAGGAAAATTCATGAGGTCAGTTTTTTAAATGCTGATTTTAAGTTTCCAATCACAAAATGAACTTTTTTCTCTGCCATTTAAGTTTGCATACTTGAACACAGAAAAGTATTTGATGCGTTCAACGTATTTTTCATACCAATCTGACTGGCTTCCCTGAATGAATTTCCCCTCTTGTGTTACTAACATTTTTTTCATTCTTTGAAACTCATTTTAAGCATCCTTTTCTGAGGAATTCGCCATCACTTCTCTCAATCCATAGTCACCTAAATCATGCATTTATGCATTTATGTACCCATCGATCCACCCATCATTTAATCAACTGAACACATATTTAGTAAGTGTATGCTATTATGTACTAGGTACTGTCTCTGCTCTGTCCTCCCTTCCCCCAAAATAATATTTAGCACATTATACTGTAGCAATTGATTTATGACTCCTCCATAGTCTATAAGCAACCTTTGAGCATAAGTATACTGTCTTATTTAGTTTTGCTTTCCTAGAACCTAGCCCATTGTCAAGCACAAAAATGTTTATAGGGGTTGCTTAGAAAATAGTTGTGAAGGAATGAATCAAGGAACCTACTGATGAATGTAACAGTTCAAAACAGCAGCCAGCAACAGTCCCTTTGAGAAATTAATCCTTATGTATTCTGCTCCTTAGACAAGAAAATACACAAAGTATAACACCAAATGTCATAACCCAAATTGCATCAAACCAAAGGATGTAGATATGAGTTAAACTAATATGCTAACAACTCTTATAAAAACCAGAAGTTAGTTGTGGTAGGGCATCTCTTAGGGCAGCTTCATGAACACTGAACAGTTACAAGGAGTGACTTTTATGTGTCATTAAAAGTGAATTTCTCTGAGCTAGGATTGGATTATAAAGGAGTAGAACTCAATAAGTGTTCCTAATATTATCATTAGTTGGTCTTTAATGAATTGTAAATAAATCTGCCATTATCTTAAAGTATGTTATAATTTTATTATAATTAAACTTTCATTACTTTCTTTGGCTACTAAATGTTACTGTAGCCTAACAATTCTTACAGCACTACTGTTTCAAAATCAAACTACAATTATCTCCATATATTCTAGATGTAAACAAGTGAACACAAAAATTATCACTTCATTTTATTTCCACTCTCAAGTTGTCAAAATTTCTCTAACAAGTTCAAGATCTATTTGTTATTAATGATTTCTAAATTTGTTTTAACTAACTTCTAACAGATATGGTACCAAGTTTAATCCTTGGTTTACTAGCACATATACTAAGTATTAAAATATGATGTATTCATATATATAGCTATTAAAGAAAATATTCAAATAATACATATATTTGAGGGAAAATGGCAAACTCATAGTATTATAAAAATAATAATATTTTTAAGTATAAGAGTATAAGATTGAATTAGATTATGCATTTTTTTTCTCATTACTGGGACAAAATATCAAATGCTCAAAATGAAAGAAAGGTTTATTTAGCTCACTGTTTGTGGAGATTTCAGGTCATAATCAGTTGGCTCCAAGGAAGGGTGACATGAAACAGGAGAAACACTTCAAGACAGCATCCAGCAAGACCAGCCAAAACAAAAAGAGGGAGAACAAGCTTCTTCTCCTCCCTTGTATTATAAACAGGCTACCCCCAAGCCCCCCAAGGTGGGTGTAGCACTCACACTACTTCTGTGCCCTCCTCTTGCACAGGCTGAGGATATTTACAGAGTAAGGATCCTGGCTCCCTGCTGAATCTCTTCGTTAAATTTCAAAACTTCTCAAGTTGACACAATGCACCAACCATAACAATATGCAAGTCAATAAAAATATTAAAATATGATAAAAGATCACAGGATTTTCCAGGGGACCTTGGAATGAGAGGGACTTGGAGGACTAATGATAAATTTTAAAAAATATAGAATATTCCTAATTATAGTGGGAGGTACTGACATAGTTGATTAGGCAGATATAATAACTATTGTTAATCAAGAAAACAAAAGCAATGAGAAAAAAATTATCAAAACAATAGTTGAAGTTGATCATAAAGATTTTGAATTGGATGTTAGAAAGAAATACTAAAATGACAGTAAATATTCATGCAGTACCTAGAGATGTGATAGGAATTCATGAAGAAAACAATGACATATAAAAAACACATATAAGAGCATTTTATATTGCATAGGATGCAAGATATGGTGTAGAACTCACAGATTTTAAAGAAGTCAGTGGATTACATAAAACAGAATCAATCAAAAACAGCAAAGAAATGTGGACAAAATGACAATGGACATGTGAGATTCATTCTGGATCCAGAATGAGAAGCCATTGAACTCTTGGGTGACACTGTGTGTACTCAGCTTAGTCTGGCACATAGTTGTTATGGAGCACATCCCTCTAATGCTTGGAGTTAAAAGACTAAGAACTAGGTGACCCTTATTTTGTTTTCCCTGTGATACCTCTCAGTAGAGGCTAAAGCTAAAATATATTCACTCTTCAAAACAGCCTACTCCAAACCACATAGGCTGCAGGTGATGATTTGTTCCATGGATACCTCTGGTAACTGTCCTCTTTACAAAGCATGAGCACTTCTCATGGCTAAAGGGGACCCTCCATCAACCTCCAAATATGAACCATCTTGCTTTATCAACTGTTCCCATTGCTTTCAGGAAAAAGAAAGGGTGCATTAATCAAATAGGCCAGGAGGTTGTAACAAAGCCAAAGTGAATCAAGTATATTTGTCTTTTCCTCACCAAGTCTTTTTTATTTGATTCTGCAAAGACAGAATCCTTTTTTCAGTTGCTCAGAAAGCCAAGAAATATTGGTCTTAGACACCACTATTTAAACTCACGGTCAGTGAGCACCTCACTGGAGGGATGGAGGACACAATGGATATGGCGATTTCATTCTGTGCCAGTTGGAAAATCTAAAACTGTTTCCTAAAACTCCTCTGTAGTTTCCCCACTAGAAGTAACCAAAAACCAAAAGAAATTAAGGAAAAAATGCAAGTAGAGCTTTTGCAAATGGCCAGGGAGGCAATAATTGGAGAGATCAGGGAGGGATGAGAAGGGAAAGGAAGAAAAATAATTAAAATATGTACATGTGCAAGCTTCCCACAAGGCATGTGATCATTATATATACTAACGGTGTACTAGTAAGAAAAAATATTTTAAAATTGGTAAGAAAAAGAGATGATCACAAAATCTGGGAGGCAGAGGTGAAATACCATTATTACTCTCTGGAAATCAGCAAGGCTACACTTAGTAAGAGACATATTCAGACCCACCAGCAGACCTTACCCTGTGTTTAATCTTTCCACATGGAAAGATAAATACATAAGAGAAAATGATTCCAGCTACCATGTCCAGCTCTTTTCCTGACCACTAGCCTCTCTAATCAACAGGACTGCACAGTCCACCACAGACACAGAAGCACACTCCTCGTATAGACCTCTGCACAAGTTCTCTGTTACAGTCACACACTGGCAAGGGGACAAACCTGCCTTCACATCTTCACATGTTCACTCACAACCACCAATTTGTTCACTTGTACCATGGCTTCAGAAGTACCAGAAAGTGCCTTTTCCTTGATCCTCAAATTCTCCTTTTATACTCATATTTCTCCAACATCTCCTGCAATTGTATAAATTCTCACTGAACAACAAATTCTTTGATCCATAATTGTCAGAGTGGTTCTGTCTTCTTACTACTGCTAGGTGCTACAATTATTGGTCCCAAGAATCTTTCTGGGGCAGTTTAAGGATGAGAAGAATGAATTACCTCTCTTACTAAATAGTTTCAAAAGCATGAACAACTTTTCTGCATGGGGTCAAAGGAACTCTGGTATTCTGCAACATAAAATGACAAAAAGAAAAACTGCTTAAATTATCACCTGCATTCAAAATCTTACAGAAGGCTACATTTGGGTGGTCAAGGATTTTTTTATAGAAAAAATAAAAAGTTTTTACATCAAATAAAAGTTTTAAGTCAAGTAAAAATATAATGTGCTGGATTTTGTGCAAAGTACATTAGAAAATCTGGAAAAAGAAAATGATGGACTCAGGAGGTTAATTAAATTCCCATTTCAAGGACTAGTCAGCAAACAGAAAATTTCTCTTATCTGTTCCCAAAATCCCCTTATTTTCCTAGCAGTAGGTCAAAATTTCTGAAAATAAAAACTAAACTCTGAATTATAACCTCAGTTGAATTTCCAACATCATGGTAAGTGTATTAATTGGAAAAAATATGAGAGGCAAATTCCTATAAAGTACAAGACACTGGTTCCCTACATGGTTCTGATCATCTTTGCCAGCAAAAGGAGCACTCTCCCCTTGTGAAGTATGGAAATACACTTCCCTGAGATGATAACTTAGTGGGGATATTTCTACTCAAGACTACGCCCACCATCTGTCTTGCTTCTAGACTGACAAACAGGTGTAAGTCCTGGCAAACCCTACGTAGTCAGGTTCAGAATAAGTACCAAACCCACCCAAAGATTTGCAAAATTCTTTTTGCCATTTTTATCAACAGAAACACAATTAAAATGCATAAAGATTATACATGTTAGCTATGGTAAAAGAGACCTTATATTTTATTGGGCTGATATGACAAAGCACAAAAGAAGATCAAGCTCCTGAAAAGAAGGTGATAAAGACTACTGTAGCTAGTAGAAAACCCAACGTGATAATTGAAGTAGCTTGACTAACAGACATCCTGGTCACTTGACAATATACTGTATACATAAGGTAAGGAAAATTTGAGATCTTATCTGATTTGTATATATGGACAATATCTAGGAACTGAGAAGAAGTATCTAGTTTGAACCATATAAAAGAGACACAGTGTTGGAGCCAATTCAGAATTGATTTGGATTTCAAGAAAGGGGGGCTCAGTCTACTGAGGAAGGTCTCTAATACATAGTAATACATAGCTATATCATACATATTTTTTCATATTAGCCCCTCTGAAGAAGAAAGCAATAGGATTTTGAGAGTTTTGTTGGACACTAGCTCTCAACTAACACAACTGGAGATGCGAAAAAAAAAAAAAAAAAGAAAAGAAAGAAGAAAAAAAACACCAGCAGCAACAGCAAAAATCCACTAAAAAACAAAAACTGGACTACTGGTTTATCATAAATTAAGTTCATGGAGATAAGGTAATTTATAAAGTTTTGATCAATGTCTATCTTACCACAGTATCCCTGAAATCAATCCTTGACTATATCCCCACTTCTAGAATGTTATTATTAGTAGACATAGAATAAATACTTGGCAGAATTTCTACATAATTTAGCTGAATTATAGAATTATAATTATATATAATTATAGAATTATAGGGCTATTATTGTGAAGAAGTCCATCTAGAACCAGCTCTACCAACCAAACTAATAAAGAATAAAGCCACTTTTTCACTTCTGTGCAGATTTTAGGCATAAATAAGTGCTAACATCAAGGTCTTGAAGGACACAGAGTGGGTGGTTACTAGCTTTCTATTCACTTTCTTATTTGGCCTTTCCAAAGAACAGATCTTAGTAAATAACAATGTATTTTAATAAACTTAAACCAGTGAGAAGTCCTACTACAACATCAGTTCATTAAGTGGAGGTCTTATATGATCAAGTCTTTCTTAAAGCAAACTGATACATTCTCTGGTTCTTGATGCAACTACTGATCCTATGAATGCTTTCTCTCAAACCACTACCAAACTTTTACTTCAAGGGTTTATCAACTCTGCCCTTAGGTACTAATTTACAGACACATCACTTGAGGATCTCTCCATTGCACAAGACAACACAATAGTCCACATTGATATCATACTGGTTAGATCTAGTGAACAGGAAGTAGCAGCTACCTTAAATGTTTGGGTTAGATATATATACAAAAAAGTGTTCAGAAAAATTCTAAAGTCCAGGTAGTTCAGATCATGTCATTATATCCCTGCTAAGGGGCTCAATGAATGCTGAATTTGACTGGTGAAGAAAAGGCCTATGCTTTATGAATCGTTGAATGCCAAAGGCAACATAAACCTCATTTGGGTATGGTGCTATGGGATACCTAATTAGAGAGATACCCAACAGACTTCTAGCTCTGACTGGAGCCCAAAGAAGAGAAGGATGTGCAAAAGATCCAGACTTCAGTGTAAATTGTTCTGCCACTTAGATCACATAATCCATGCAGACCTAATGATCTGAGACGTGTTGGTAGTAATTTATTATTTTTATAACAAAGACAGTATAAAATCAATTAAGAAGGAAAAGAAATGGTGCATAACTTGATGATTAAGAATTTAAGCTACCCGACTGTTTGCAGATGCCTACTCTCTTTTTGAGAAATAGCTCCTAAATTCTGTTGGGTCCTAGCAGAAAACAAGTACCACCAACAGGCCAGTAAATTATCTTTAAAGTTACATTGACTGCCAGGCATGTTCGTGCAGGCCAGTAATCTCAGAACTCAGGAGGTAGGTCTAGGCAGGGGAGCACCACCTGGACTACATAGTGAGTTCAAGGCCACCCTGAACTACACAGTGAGACACTGTCTCAAACAAAGAAATAAAATAAAATGAAAACAGCATTGACTGTGAATAGCTGATTATTGATTTATCCAGTAAGCCATAAAATGTAGAATAGACCGGAGCTCTCTATCATTAAGTGGAAAAGGTATACACAGGATCGGCAATTCCTAAAAGCACTAGTAAAACACACAAACCAGTACTTCTGCTTCCTCTGGCTTCTATTTCTGCTGTTTCCTCTACTTGATCAGCCCACAGTTACAAGAATTCATTTAATCAGATGAGAAAAGGAAAAAAAAAAAAAACCCTTGGTGACTGGGTTACATGCTGCTCCATAGAGGAGGCTGCCACCCCTGGTGGTGGTTTCTCTGCAATTCCACTCAAGGGTGGCCCTGCACAGAGTCGAAGGTGGATATCCTTTTCTCGAGCATAACTCTATGCAGAACCCCTATTTTATGTTTTCCTAGAATGACAGAGAAACAGAGGACGGATCTATGCTGATTCATAGGCCAGGGCTGACCATTTGTTAGACAGTCAGGGACCTAGAAGGAACATGATTGGATTTGTTGAAAAAAAACCCTATAGGGCAGGAGCACATTCCCCGACTTCTAAAATGGCAAATGTGAAGACATTTGTGTTTACCAAAGTAAAAAACAAAGTTCTAGCAGAAGAGATCTCAGTGAACAATTTGGTGGACGTGATTACTCCATCTATGAATGTGAGTCAACCTCTTCCTCCAGCCACTCATGACTCTGTCCCACCAACTATGAACAAAGAGGCTACAGTTGTCAAGATCAAAACACCTGCACTCAGCAGCATAGACCTCTGCTCATAATGCCACTTTGTCCTCAAGAACTGCTGATTACTCCCTGAGAATGACAAAGGCTACACCAAGCTCTGAGACTCTGTACTGCGGGGACCAGCCACTTCGTGGCAATTTGATTTCATTCATGTAAAGGACAGCAATACTTTTCTAACTTGAGAAGATAATTTTTCTGGATACAGATTTGCCTTTCTGGCTTATAAGGCTTCATTCAAAATTAATAGATATAGACCTACAGATTACCTCCTCCACAAACTAATCTATCACATAGTATTGCTTCCAAACAAGAAACTTATTTGACTATTTGACAGCAAGTGCACACCCATAATAGGTGTTTGCTTATTAAATTCATTGATCTTTTTTGTTTGGTTGGTTTTTGTTTGTTTGTTTGTTTGAGCTCAAACTGGCCTTGAACTTACTTATGCAGCCTAAATTGGCCTCAAACTCAGTCAATTTTCCTACTTCAGCCTCCCAAGGGCTGGGATTACAGACATGTATCATCACATCCAGCAAATTTATGAATGTTACCACATTTCCAGAAAGGAGTGGAATGTCATTTTAAAGATTCGGATACAGCACCAGCTGGATGACCACATTTTTAGAGTGGGTAATATTCTTCAAGGTGAAACACATGTTCTGATTCAAGGACTGCTATGGTCAGTACATTGTGTCAAGTTGAGAAGTTTAAAAGTTTTAACTAAGAGACTCAGCAGGGAGACTCAGCAAGATCCTTACTTTGTAAATAGCCTCATTCTGTGCAAGAGAAGGGCATAGAGATTTTATGAGTGTTATATCTGCCCTAGGGGGTGGGGAGGGAGTAGGGGGATGGCTTACATACAATAAAAGAGAGGAAAAGAGACTTGCTGGTCCCCTCTTTTTGCTCTTATTGCTTTGCTGACTGCTGCCTTGAAGTGTTCACTGGGGCCATGTCACCCTGCCTTGGAGCCAATTGACTATGGACAGAAACCTCCACAAATAGTGAGCTAAATAAACCTTTCCTTCCTGCATTTGGACAAGGACCAATAAATGAGTTATGACCAAACAATACAACGAATGTTTAAATAAAAAATATTACTATAAAAGAAATATTGCCATCAATTCCCCTCAAAAGCCCCATTTCTCCTGCTTCAAGCACACCTGCCCCAGAGTTCTTGCCACTTTTTGAAGTCCCAAAGTGCTCTTTCATCAGTACACTTACGGATATGATCAAAATTATGGTGAAAGTTGCTGCTAAGTGATATTCAACAGAAAGACAGACTTGTAAAAATACTTGTGTCAGACTTGTGTCTTTATCCACCATTTTTCACCAGATCTGACACCATGTGACTTCTGGCTCTTCCCCAAAGTCAAAATGGCCATCAAAGGTAAATATTTTGAATCAGCTCAGGTCATCTAGGCAGCTATGACAGCTCACCATTAACAATGACAAAGAGGATTTCCAGACCAGCTTCAGAAAGTGGCAAAAATAATGGAATACGTGTGTTTGAAGTGAGAGGAAATGCTTTGAAGGAGACTAATGGAAATGCATTTTTTACTGTGCTATTTTCAAAAAATTGAACATTCACCTTATTTTCTGATCACACTGCATATGATGCTGATTTTTCCCTCATAACCAAGATTCTTTAGCTGAAAAAAACAGACATGGAAAATGAATGGTTCCTCTCTCTAATACGCCAAATGATTCACTAGCATAAAAGTTACTTCCTGACCCTACTTCTTTGGGACCTGCCAGCTTGGAGCTCTTTATTTCCAAGGAAAGAATGCCTCTGCAGCAAAGGACACAAACACTGAAAGTGAAACTGCCAGCAGGCCACTCATCATGGCAGTGAGTCAGCAGTCAAGGGAGAAGCTCACTGCCGTGGGTGGAATAATTGACTACCAAGGGAAAACTGGTTGACAGAGTTCTAAGCCCACAAAATTTCCGTTGGTGGTATTAATCTTCTACAATTCCTTTATTCCCTTGAATGCCAATAAGACCTACAAATATGATAAGGCAAGCACATCACTTCATAGAAGACTTGACTGCAGCAGGTGACAGCCTCCTGCAGGGCATGAAGAAATAAGCTGCTATATTGTAAAATAAGGATTTTATGTCTAGATCCTGAGTGGATTCCAGAGAATAAAACCAATCCTCAGCTCTCAATCCTAACCAGCTGACTTCTGCCAACAACCTGCATGAGCCTGTAGAAGGACTTTGAGTGTCAGGCAGATCACTGTCCGAGAACACAACTTGATTTAAAACTTGTCCTACCCTGACCACAAAACCCAGGAAACCCGCCCCTAACCTCCTGGCCCATGGGAAATGTAAGATCGTGTGGTGTTGCAAAATGCACTGTGATAACTTCACATGTAGTAAACTAGCACAGCTATACTGCTTGTAATATCAAGGTAGAGAAGCATATGCCTAAAGAAATTCTTAGGGATCACGTATTCCTACAATAAAAAAATAATGCAACACTAGAAGATCTCAAAACTGAAATTACTAGTGGCACAGATCTTTAGGGAATTCAGGTTTGGGATACCCTTTCAGTTAAGAAATTATGATTGGCAAAGTTGTTTGCAGATGACAAAAGTTCTATGTAATGAATATGAAAAGTAAGTTATAAATTTCTCATTTATGACTCACAAAATTATTTATAGAAATTAAAATTACAACGGTTACAAGTATTTGTTCCTTGTTTGATGTAAATATATGTGTGTGCATTTGTGTAGAAAATACATCTAGGAGAGAAAAAAATTTAAATGATTGGTTAATATAGGTATGAAATAACATAAAATGCTGTTTGCTATATAATATAATGTGTTAATCATCATTACCTGAGATGTCAATTTATAAATTACATGACATAAGAGCAGAACTATGATTCAGCTAGAAAGGAAATAAACATTACTGAAAAATGGATGAAATAACTGTGGGTTTCATATCCTCTTTTGATACTGGGAGTGGGAGGAACTTGCATGTTTCCAGATGCACGGGAATAAATGGATCATGTTAGGTATAATAATGATCTGGCCACTATAAACAAGTGTTATGGGAATGAATGCCAAGCTGATCGAAGCTGGCTGCAGTTGTTCTTTTTTTTTTTATTTATTTAAAGAGAGAAGAAAAAAAAAGAAAGGAATAAAAAAATGCAGTAAAAGGGTACAAATAATACAGTATTTCTAGAAAAAAATATGTACAGTACAAAATCACCAGTTAACATTATCTTCCCATAAACAGTTGTCCATATCACTAAATTAAAGCATATAAAGTGAACATTCATACAGTGAAATTGGAGACAGTTCTGTTCAATGATCCAACAAAAGCTCAGTAATATGGTTTTCCATCCTACACACTCAAACATACCTGTGGTTCTATCTCTTAGTCCACCTTACTTTCCTCTCTTTTTTACAGTAACAATTAGACTTTTGCTTCAGTTGTTCTTTATCAGCTTTTCTAATCTGGAACTATGTTTCCAGGAATCGTGTACTATGTGGTATTCAGGATAAATGGAAAGAGAAATCAATGTAATTTAGCAAGCAGAAGCAGTAGCCATTAACTCTTTGAAGGTCACCCTAGTTAAAAGAAGTGAGCAACACAAAGATCTTCTAGAACCTGTCCCTGAGATTAAGGGCCAGAAACAGGCATGCCGGTAGTCAGCTCATTCTCACTTTCTCACTCTGGGCATCCAGCTAAGTTTCCAAATGCTAACTTCACCGGTGAACAGAAGCTCCTAACCACCACCAGACACAAACACTGCAGCCTTGAGGAGGCTTCTCCTCTCCTTCCAGCTGCACATGTGTGTCTTTACTAATTAATTCCTTGGCAAGCTCCCACCTTTACACCCATTCTGATGTGTTAGAGGAACTGGTTCTTGATTCTGTTCTGCAAATTTCCAACAACTGAACAAGATCTTTTTCTAATATTTTAAATCCTCCTCCACAGTATTCGCAGTGGCTCTGCTTCTCTTACTGAAACCTGACCAAAAGAAGACCATCTTGTCTTCTCAACCACAGAGCAGCAATCCATGTGCCAGGGCAGTCCAAGTGCACGTACCTGCAGGGAAGATTAGAGACAGATGAGCAGTGGTAGTGTTGGCCACTTCCTTTACAAGTTATTTTAAAGAAACGATAATGGTAACCATGTTCTTATCATGTTACAAATTGACAGAAATATAAAAATTGCATCTTCTAAGGGTGAAGGCACTGCTTACAACCCCTTCCCATGGTCCCACATGGGAGGAGCCCTTCTTGTCATGCACAGAGCATAGGACACAAGGCAGGAGTGAGGTCCCATCACACAGGTACCTCGCAGACGTTAGTCTTCCACTCCTCTCGCTGGCCACAGGAGAGTACAATTGAAGGAGAGAAAAGGACACGAAAGACCTCTTAACAAGAGTAGGTTCAACATCCTTGTGAAAAACATAAAAATGACTTGAACAGAGGAATGTGGAGAATGGAAGGGTGGAAAGTATAAGTAGCACAATATCTCAGTACCTTATTTGGGAGATTATAAATTAATTCAAATAGTACTTTAATGCTAGCTATCAAATTCTGATTTCTAAAATAGGAGAGAAATATAATACAGAAAGAAAAACGTTAAAATGTAATCTAATCTTTATGGTCACCCTAGAGTAACTCCAGGGCGTAGATGCTCACAGTTAAGCAGTTATTGACAACTTGCTACATTAATGATGAAACTTAGCTTATATATGAAGCTGTGTATACAACGCACTGAAGCAGAGTTGTTGTGACATTATATGCAATGTAAATTATATGTAAATTTTACCTTTTAATTCTCAAAACTTCAGCAAGAATAATCACTATTGTATACTGTGTCCTAACAATCATATGACATTAACAAAATTTTACTGTATAAATAAGTATAGTTAAATGCTATTCTTACATGATTATCATAATTACAAAAAAGAAGCACTGTTATTGCTACCTCTATTTCACAGAAAGAAAATTGGAGCTGAGATACTAAGTGATATAACCAAAGATACCTGGTGAAAAAGGAAATTTAGGGTTCACAGCTCTATGAGATGCAGTTCTGCATTTTCACCCACTAGTCCACACCAAATTCTTATGATTACAGACCTAAAAATATTCATCCTGCTTTAATACCAGTCTTCAAATATTTCCCCACAAAAAGTTTTTTCTTATGGGCTTTACATATTTTTCATGAATGTACACTTGTATAAACCTCTATATAAAAGTGATTATTCATATTATGTTGTTGATCCTATTCTCTTTCAAAAAAAATAGCATCTGCAAGATTTAGGTTTAATTTAAATTCAACACTGTTTGGAAAAGTTTTACCATTCTCCTGAGTCCCACTAATCCTGGTGTGGAATTGCTGACCTAGTTCTAAAGTGACAGATAAATCCACACAGCTCAGGTGCACTCTTTTGGGAAAGGGTACAGTTATTGTTCATGTCCCATTTGTGTGGAATGCTGAGCTTTCAAATAATCCATTGCTTAATGTAAATATTTGATGAATAAAAATAATTGAGTTTATCCTTATACATGCTACTTTGGCTTTGTTTTTTCATTGTTGTAGTTTTTAGTAGCCAATGAATATCCCACTTGCAATCAATCTTCAGAATAATGATGTTATTCCATATTGCATAAGGCAAAATACCATATACTTAACCCAGTATACCTTTTATCTGGAAAGTAAGTTGGTAATCAGAGAACAACTCCTTCTAGTTACATTAAAGAAAAAGAAGAAGTAGACAAGGAAGTTGATCCTATACTTAATTATCTAAATACATAATGTTTAATGGGCATGTATTATAGATTATTATATTGATGGCAATTGGATACTGACTCTTTGCTCATATAGTACAATGCCAGCAACTCTTACAAAATTTTCTAATTAGAAATTGAAATTAACATGTATGGTTCTGTGCTAGTTAATCCTGGTTTGTTGGTTTGTTTGTTTGAGTGGATTAAGATATGTCTAGAAAATTGGTAAATGACATTTCTGGCTACATGTGTGAGTGTTTTTCCTAAGATAGCTGGCATGTGGGTCAGCGAAATAAATGGGGAAGATTCACCTTCAGTGTGAGTAGCATCATAAAATAGGCCAGGAGGTCAGCTGGAACAGCGAAAGGAGAGCCTCCCATGCTTGCACATAACCAGCCCTTAAGTAGATGAAATTTTTGCTTCTGCCAACACTCGTGGACATCAGACTCTCGCTTCTTCAGTCTTCAAAAGCAGACTTGCACCAACAAATTTGCAGGGCTGCTTCAAGACCTCAGTCTCAGACAGGGACTGCATTATTGGTCCCTCTAATTCTGAGGCTTCCAGCTTCTTGAACTGAGGAGTTACTAGTTTCTCTGCAGTTTGAAGATGGCCACCATGGGATTATGCAGCCTCTGATAGTATAAGCCAATCTAATAAATGCCCTATTTATTTTCTTACTGATTATGCATTTACTTATTGGTTCTGTATCTCTGGAGAGTCCTGAACAATACAGATACTTAACATGCTTCAGAATCAGAAAATATTGATTTGTTTGTTGTTTCATAGTATTTAGAAGGTAAAATGATTTAAGAGAATATTGCAGAATTTAGACATTGTTACAAGGCATGGCATGGACATATAAAAGACAAATATTAAATACAAAGAAAACAGAGTTGAAGTTATAGTAATATTGATTCAGTATGAATAAATTAAGAACAACGATACCTAATATGACTAAAGAGCTTTAAGGTGAAATAAATGCATCCAGAAAATAGTCAGAGGAAAGTAGGAAAAGCTATGTTTTTAAAAGGGTATATTCTCTTGCCAGGGAATAGAAATTTCTAAATCCAGCTTCATAAAGACAGAGTTTAACATAAAAGTAAACATGCAAATCCCATGGGCATTTAGAGACAGAAAGGAAGGACAAGCCAGCTACAAAGTGAAGGATCTCTTAGAGACAACCCAACTCTTTGTCTTCAGTGCTCACCTCGGCAGTTAAGTGCTCACTGTATGGACAGAATTCCCGTCTCCCCAGCTGTGGATTGTTGCTTCCTGAACCCTTATGACACGGAATATCCACTATGTCCTGGGCTCCACCTGAAAGGGAGTCTTAACGAAAACTTTGATAAGAAAAAAACCACTAAGGTGAATATACTACCTTCACAAACAAAAAGGGCAAAGGAAACAAATACCAAATGTTAGCATGCTCCTGTGTTTTTAAAATTCAAATGTGAAAAACAGAAACATTTATGGTGGTTTTCAAGGCCTTCCGAAAGGCAAAAACGGGATATTCAAGCAACTTACTTAGTCAAATTCTCTCGTATTTATAATGCAGATAGAACATTTAAACTCATTTTTAGGTTACTATAAATTGAAAGTAAATGTTTAATAATGCTTTTGATTTTAACTTTTGAATTTAACAAAGGCTATTTGAATAACATAACTGAATGTAACAGTTTCAATGCACAATTTTCAGAATAACAGGTAAAAATTGTGAATGCAAAATTTAGTCTGTTATTTACAAAAGTACCTGCATGATATGCTAACAGTAGAATTTCAATTGTGCGTCAAGAAAAATCTTATGTGGTTTAATTTATATGAAAATAAATTTTGTTAAATATGCTCATAATATATTAATTATTAATTTAAAAACAACACTGTCTAATATCTTATGTCTTTCAAGTATATTTCTGGTATTCAACTATCCAGCCATGTATATACACTACGAAGCCTACCTACAAAACTATATGAAATTGTTATAGGTATTTCTGCTTTTCACCAAGTATAGGAACATTTCTTATATATTTCTTTGCTTTGAATCTAAAAAGTATTTTTTATTTTCTGTGGAATTCTTACTACCATGCTTTCAGCAGAAGAGTAATTTTAAGTTCACCAACTGAGTTTAACCTTTGATTGTTTAGTTTTTCTTTATCTACAATTCCATATGTTTTATTAAGTGTCCACTTTGTAAAAGGCAATAAACATACTTAGTAACACAATTAGGTTTTGACTGGCTTTAATCAATGATTCTTTTAAATCAATGATTAAACTTTCATTTTATTCACCTTTCTTACGATTGCCTAACAGATGAAGAAATACATACACGAACTAGTAAATCCTTAGATAATTGAGGATTGATTACATTTCCTAATAACTTACTTGCTTTAATTGGTTCTCCTTTGCTTCTATATTCGCTTTATTGCAGGATTCTCCCTTAGCAATCTTCTCTGCACACTTTGAAATGACAAGTTAATGTCAAGGAAAAAAACTAACATTTTTGTACATAATTAATCACAGGTTCATCTTTATATTCTTTCTTTAAATGGAATCAATTATAAAATTGAATTTTTCTAATTTCAAATTACATGAAAGTGAATTTATTGCATTTTCAATTAAGAAATATTTTATTGATGAGAGTAATAATGACTGATATGTAGTATTTTGTGGTTTTTAAACTATGCTCATTGCTCTCAATATGATATAAAAAGTTCTACAAATGTCATGATATAAAATTTATGTTCTACCTTTCTTCAAAATACCTATCAGTGTAACTCATATTTATATTTTTCTTGCAGTATTAAAAATATTCCTCTATGAAAAACTAAAACAGAATTTCATAACAAAATACTGTAATTAGGAAATAATTATCAATGTATTCTGTGTTCTTATATATCTTTATTAATATCTATTGCATTACATTAAAATAAAAAATTAAAAAGTATTGTTTATTTTGCATTAATCACATTTTGAAAACGTTTTCACAATAATAAATCTAGAAACTAAGTCCAGCTATAGCACACTAATAAAACATTGCTGCCTACAATTTCAGATCCTGAGGGGTAAACACAATGCTATGAGAATCTGTGAGTTAAGAACCAAGTATATATGATGAGAAAAAAAAAGGCTACAGACTAAAATTTTAGGGTAACCAGACTCAAAGGAGTTGGGAGCAGAAGAACCAGGAGCTAAGGCCTAATCTTGTGCTGTGTATTGAGAAATCCAAACTAAAGGAGAAATCAAAAGTCATTTCTTTAGCAATAATTGACAATCATGCTTCAAAATTAAAGTTGCTGGAAGAACAGAGGTGGGGATAAAGAAATAGGTGAGGTCTTCAGGATCAAATAGGAAAACTACACAATAGGAAATACCACATCCAAGAAAAGCAGAGTCAAAACACTAGAAGGCAACAAAAGAATTGAAAGTAACAAGATTCTCCAAACTACTACCTAAGAAAATTTTCTGTGATAATGAAGGATCCTGTCCTTCAGTTTGCAATATAATGTAACATTTGAGCACTTAAAATGTGACAAGTATAACTAAGGAGTTTTAAATTCATATTTCAATATAATTAGTTGTAATAACCATTTGAGTTACTGTGTTAGGAAGTGAATCTTTATGAGGGTACAAGTATGATTTATTTATTCATCTGGAGTGTGTTTCATTACCAGATGGTCTCCTTCAAGGGTTCAGTCACACTGCTGCATGTCAACCAGTTTAAAAAAATACATCTCCTTACTTTGAACTTGTGATATTATCTACTCTTTATTTTCTTGAATGGCTGTGTACAGTTAGAATAAGATTTTGGTATCAAAAGAATGTATAAAGTCAGGATATTAGACTGGTAAAAATTCCTGGAATTGCAAAAATCTCCTGTGCACCTTCCAAGTTATATCTCCCAATTAATCTACTACCAGTAGATGTTATGTTCATTGCTAAACACCTGAGGGTAGGCGTGAAAGTGGTACTTATGTGGATGTAGTCCTAACAAAAATAACTAAGCAGAGAATTGGGATTTGTTCAATGAAGTAATGAGAATTGAAAAGAAAAGAACAGATAGGAGATGTGATTTATAATGCATCATTTTTGGAATAAGTTACAGAATCTTCCAAAGTAAAAATGTGGTTTGTGTGAGTTGGCAGCTTTCTGACATTTCACATATGCTTGGTGGAATGTGCCCCAGAGAAGAACCTGGGCTCGCAGAGATGGTAAGCTGAATATTGGTGAGTACTTATTTGTTTTTACTCCAAATTGTTTGATGAGATCATAAATCTGATGATCCTGCTCTTTGCAGACCTCAGAAAGCTTAAACTTCAAGAGCAGATGTCTGAACTCTATGGACAAAGACGAGAATATACCTACCAGCTCTAGTTTGTGAATGGGGAAAGGTATAGGAAATTGTTTCACCTTCTCACATGAATCTGACACTAATTTCAAAGAATTTGAGGAGAATGGATGGACATCATCTGTGGTACGCACTCTGTTGTTTCATCAGTTCTTAAAATAGTGCCTGCTCCATAGCTGATACTCAGCAAGCATGAGCTAAATGCCAAGCCATGTCTTCCTTAGCATGACTTGGACATTGTTCTGAAAATGGTATTGTCAGGCTGGATGAAAACGTCAGCATCCATGTGGTCCATCTGTTGTGGATTTCTGAGTCTTCTCTAAGCATCGGCGAGGGATTAGGTAATGCAGCATGTTTTTGCTATCAAAAGTAGAGCACAGACTTCTGCCAAGTATATGAGGTAGACACACACCCACACACACTAAGCACAACTAAACACTTGGAAGGGAGAAACTTCTCCCTCCCAAGTGTCTATATATAGTCATTAATATATGTTATATACAATATATATTATATATATAATATATATATATAAATATAGTTTTTAAAGACTGTAAGTTGAAAAGAAGGTCTATGAGGCACCACATCAAGATACAAAGAATAATGTAGTAAAGACTTCCTTGGGGTTTTCTTTTTGTTTCATTTATCCCAAATTTGGAATCAGAGAAATTAGCTACCTAGAAATGCTCATGGATGGAGATAAGAAAAACCCAAACTAATACTTTCTGTCTCTAGCCAAGCAATAGATAGCTGGTATAGTAACACAGAGAACCTTTAGACAATAATTCCTCTAGTCCAAATAAACACCATAGAAAAAAGGTGGCTTCACCTTCCCCACCACCACCCCGTGCAGCAAAGGCCACGAGTTGAGTTTAGACTTCCTCTTTTATGAAGCTACAGTGATATCTCCCCAAGATCCTATCAGCTTTTGCCAGAGAAGCCAGGTAGAGAGTAGAGAATTTCATCCCACTATGGCTGTAATCAGGTAACATCCTCACATCATAGATGAAGACCATACGAGGTGCCAGAACCTCTACCTTCAACTAGAAGAAATGAGGCCTCTTCCTATCCTTGCAGGGGTGGTGTCAGCAGAGACCTATTGGACATTTAAGATGCTCATCACTGCCCAGTGGTGTTGATGCCACCTACACTGCAAAACCAATGAAAAGCATCTAGAGAATCAGCATTCCCACCCTCACCCAGTAGTAACAGGTTCATGTGGCAGTAGCCTTTCCCTACATTCCCATGACATCAGGAATGAAACAAGGGATGTCCCTATGGTTGCAGAGACACCAAAAAATAATAAAGATGAACAGCTCCTATGAACAACTCCATCCACCTGCTATTTAGATGAAATGGACTAATTTATTGAAAAATACAACCTATTTTAATTCACTTACACAACTTACATATTCTTATATGAAGGAAATTGAATTTGCGATTAAAAATTCTCAAAACAGAAATTTCCAGGTCCCTATGAGTTCACAGGGATTTTGGAAAATGTTCAAAGAAAAATTAACAACAATTTTATAGTATCACTTCCAAGATAGAGAAGGCCAGAAAATACTTTCCAATGCATTTTATGAAGGTAATATTACCATAATACCAAAGCCTGACAAAAACAAGGCAAAAAGCAGCCATCTCAAAATATAAGCATAAAAATGCTCAACAGCAATTTAGCAAACAGAAGTCAGTAACATATAAGAGGAATTATGTATGAAGTCCAAGTGGGATATATTTAAGGCTTGAAAGGTAGTTTAATCTTCAAAAATCAATCAACAGAGCAGAGCTGAAGCCCAGAGCTCGCACAGGTGCAGCGGGCATGGGGATGGGTGTCACAGTGCACTTGCACCAGCTGTGCAAGTACCCCTTCCAACAGGTGGTCCCCAGCTTCCTGCAAAAGTATCTCACCCCCATGGATAGAAATGCTATCTCTGTAAAAACTATGGAGGAAGGAAAGAAACACCATGAATCACCTATAGAAAGAGGATTGTAATCTGTCAGAATGTGATTCCAGAAATTTAAAAGAAAGATGAGTGTTTTAAAGGTACCGAGTATCCAGTTAGAAGAAGAATCATGGCTCAGTCTTCAGAAAGAAACCTGGCTATGCAGAGTAGCTGCCTTACATGGACACAGTATGCATCCATGAAGGAAGAGTCTTGTCTTCATGGAAAGTATGGAAAATCCAAATTGGACAGAGTTCATTCAAAGAGGCAGGATTTCAACCACAGGGGCTGGATTTCACAACTGTGTTTTAGAAACTTTTACCAGCACTTTGTTAAGACAGGGAGCCCAGAAAGAATCAGAATAATGGAGATGCTGCTGAAGGAACAGTGTGGGCCCCTTTAGCCGAATAAAGAATCACCAGGCAGCTGCATCCCTGTCTGATTTCATTATTTTTTCCTCTTCTTTTTTTTCCTCCTCAAGAATCACTTCTTGGCTACAACATCAGCACCATTCCTGGAATACAGGCTTGAGAATATAGTGTCAGCAGTTTAAAAAGAGGACAGTATGCTATCAGGACTTACAATGACATGTTCCCCTTGGAGCTTCTTCAGATAGTGAGACTTACGGAAATGAGAACTTCTAACTGGAGTTTTATGATGCAGTTGCTACAATTTTACAAATAAAGGAAAAACTCATGTAAGATGAAAAAAATCAATCAATATAATCCCCAATGTGACAAAGCAGAAGAAAAAAAACCACACCATCCTATCAACTAGTGTAGAAAAGTGTTTGATAAAATTCACTGGTCATTTATACCAAAATTTTTTAACTCAGAAAAACAGGAATACAAAGAAATTTCAACTGATAAATATCAATCAAAACTTTACAGTTACCCTTATATTTAATTGTGAAAGACTTAATACTTTCGCCATAAAATTATGAATAAGATAAGGAAGTTTTTTTCACAGCTCTCACTCAAAAGAGTACTATCTTTTCCACGTCAATAAACTAGAAAAAGAAATAAAAGTCATACAAATGAGGTGTCCCTATTGATAGATAGCTGAAGAACTACTAGTATAGAGAAGACACCAGAGAAAGCCACACAAAAATTTTAACACTAATTAGTGAACATAATGAGTTTGCACAATACAAAGTAAATGAAATTTAATTGTTTTTATGTATTAACAGTGAACAGGTGGACAAAAGTTTAACAATATATTTACAAATATATAAATACATATTTACATGTATTTAGACATATTTCTATGTGCAGATATAAATACTTACATATACATGACGTGCAGAATATACTATAACTAAACAACATAAAATATAATTACAAATATATATTTACATACAAGTATGTGAGTATTACAGAATGTCTATAACTACACAATACTGATGATACAAACCAAAGAGGATTTAAGTAGATACAAAGAAATACCAGGGTCAGGTATTGAAAGACTCACCACAATACACAATTATCTCAAAATGATTTACAAGCTTAACTCAGTAACTGTAAAAAGTTTCAATATTTTTTTGGATGTTGATAAGATTATTCTATTTTTATATAGAAAGTCAAAAGAACTAGATTAGCTAAAATTATTTTCTAAACATAATAAAGTACAAGAGATGCGTCTACATAATTTTAAGACTTACCATACTACAGTAATCAAGTGTGTATGTTTTTGGTGAATGTACAAAGTCCACATCAGCAAAACAGTACAGAAACTAAAAATAGACTAACATATATACACCAACTGATTTTTTGGCCAATTTGTCAAAAAAATTCAATATAGTCTTTTTTAACACACGGCACTGGGGTAATTGGATATCCATAGAGAAAAAAGATGAACCTCGTTCTAAGTCTCACACCTTATATAAAAATTAACTCAAAATAGAACATGAGCCTAAATATAAAATATAAAGCACTAACATCTCAAAAAAATCATAAGGGAACATCTTGCAGATCCATGGTTGGACAAATGATTTTAAATTTTACACTAGAAGCACAATCCTTAAAATGAAAATCAGTAAACTATACCAAATTTTCAAATTTTTGCTTTTCAGAAGTCCCTAATAAAAAGATGAGTAGATGGCCTATAGAACAGGGCGGAATGTTTGCTAATCACATGTATTTTTTAAAAAAATATAAATGTCCTCACAACCACAAGAAAGCAAACCATCCAATTAGGGTACACGCAAAGGATATCAAGAGACATTTTACCAAAGAAAATATACAGAGGTCAATAAAAACATAAAAAGATGTTCAAAACCATTAGCATTAGATAAATAGAAATCAAAATCACAGTAAGATACCACTACACTCATATCAAAGTGATTGAAATTTTAAAAAATATATTGGCAGCACCACATGCTAGTAAGGATATGAACAGCTGGCTCACACACTGCTAAGAGAAATCTAAACACTATAGCTACTCTGGTAGAGCTTAGCAATTTCATATCAGCTGCGTTTCTAGGGATTTATTCCTGAAAATTTGAGTGATTTTTACTGACAAACCTATGTAGCAGTTCTGTTCATAATACTAACAGTTCTTGTCCCTTCAACAAGAATATCCCCTCCAGTATAAGGCTTGCCAGCCACACATCTTGTGTAGCACAGCTGGCCGCAATCCCCTCGCCATTTTCCTCAATGATAAATACCAAGGTGCCCCAAGAAAACCAGATCCCTGCCTGCACCTCGACTTCATCTCTTGCTCTTTCTTCTCATCATGTGCCATAACTCCGGTTAGGAGATCCGGTACTCACGGAGGGGGTCCCCAATGATGGTGCATGCGTACCGTGAAATACTATTCAGCAGGAATAAAGAAGGAACCACGACACACAGAACAGCCTCGACAAATCTCCAGAGAATGATGCTGAGCGGAAACCAATATTTGGAAATCACAAAATTACAGAAACAGAAAATACAGTAGAGATTGACATAGAACGGGTAGGAGTGGGTGAGATTATGAAAGATTTTTGTGTTGGTAGAAATGCTTTGTGTCTTGACAGTGTCAATGTCATTATTTTTTTTATATTGTATTATAATTTTACATGCTATCCTTAGAAGGAAATCAGGGAGCCACTATTATTTCTTAGAACTGCATATGAATTTACAATCAATTGAAGGAGTTTTAATAACAGAACTAAAAGAGCAAACAGAACACAAAGATGATTCAGAGTCAGAACAGAACAGAGCTTTCTTGAAATGGAATTTTGGGGCACCATTTAATAGTTACAGGTATTTAAAGGTGTATTACATGAAAAAGGAAGAAAAGACATTTTTGCTTTAAAAGATGAAACTAAAAGAAAATTACAGTGTTAGAAAAACAATTAAGGCTCAATGTAGCAAAAGAGCTTTTCAGTAGCAAACTAAGGGATGTCCAGCACTAGAGTGGGTTGCCCAGAGAAGTGAGCTTCCATCTAGATGTGTTCAAGGAGAAAGAACATTGAGAAAAGCATGACTGCATTTGAAGAGGTTGGACCTCCTCAGGGAATCTCAGATTCAAATGTCAGCACAAGCTGGGTAATGAGCGTGCACTACTGCCACATGCAGGGAGAGAAAATACAGAGGCAGTAAGGGGCGCGGGCTGGGGAGCCCTGGAGAGGCCATCTGCCTCTCTGCTCCGGACATCACTTTACGAATGCTGACCTGATGTAGCTAAATCATCAGGTGTTTCAAGACAAGTTGGAAATCCAGCTTTTTATATGAATTCAGCCAATAATTAAAACATGATTCTTAGATTGCGTATCATTCAAATACTCGTGAGATCTAAAACTGTGTAGACAAAATAACTTACCTGAATGTTATTCTATTTAATATTAGTGCTAATCATAAAAAGCACCCTCTATCATTACATCTCAGAATTTTAATTTCTAAAACATTATATGTTGATAAACTATCATAAGTTAGTTCCAGGAAAATATCTTAGTAGTATATATCTCATTTTCTGCTGTATTTGATATCAAGGCTGCAATTAGAACAATCTCTTTCCATTAAACTTTCAATTTAAGACAACTTTAATTTTCTTGCTGTATATGTCATATTTACCACTGGTGCAGGCAAATAGTGATACATTATGTTTTAGTGTTCACATGTACTTCACCAGAATATATCTTTTCCTGACATGATTAGAACTTTCTTGAGGGAACATAGAAAGTCCTAAATTTTATTTTTCTACCCTTGTTCTAAATTACCATGGTTTGAATCATACAGCACATGCTCAAAAATAGATATTTTCCACCAGACTCCATGTCAAATAAAATAATTGAATATATTCCTAGACTACAGCAGAAAAACTGAGACAGTGAGCTGGAAGGTCCATTCAGCCCTACCTGTTGAATCCCACAATCAGCACCATTGCAAGTTCCCAATCCATCAACAAGTCTTCCCCACCTGAATTTTCAGCACCAGTTGTTTCTCCAGGAATCTCTTAGACCTCTCCAACAGTCCTGGTGAGGATATCCATCACAGCCTTCCAATTAAAAAAAGAAATAAAGAAATAATCAGGCTGTCTTCTGTGTTCCAGAGACACTGTGACCTTGAGATGAATTTGCACTATAGGGCAAGTTAGATGGCATTGAACAGCCAGTACAAGAGATCAAACACACACAGTCATTACTTTTCTTTCAATTTCATGGAGATGTTATGGTACAGTGTCTACCATGTCGAGGTCATTGGAAGGTCCTGTGGCATACAGAGTTTCTATAAATCAGTGGAGTAATGAAAATATGGCAAATGGCAGCCAGCACAGAGAAAAGTACTAATCCAAGCTAACAGGATCTTCAATTTCCCACGTAGCCATCAGGCACTGAGATTTTGAGCTGTGAAAATAATTTGGTGCTCAAAGAACATAGCATTATCAGAATTCAGACAATTTTATGCTAAAGAAACACACACAGAGACATCCTTTATCCATCAAATAAAATGAAAAAAATTTAAAAGACCTTTATAGGCCTTTGATAATCAAATTTTTATAACAGGTAGCAAATGATAAAGCTCAATATAACTGATGTCTAGAGAACCATCATCAATACCTCGCAATATAGAAGAGAGGAATTTAGATGTACTCACTACCCAATGAAAACATGAATGACATAAGTATATACAAAAATTACATTGATAAACAGGTTTAAAAGTGTAAGAATTTTTAGTTCCATAAGAAAAAGTCTGAAAATCAAAATTCAAATTCATCATTGCAGAGAGAAAAGATATGTTAACTACAGTCAACGGGACTCCACACAAGCCCCTATTTTCCAAGATAGCGATGGTAATGTTTCCACGATTGCTGGAGTTGTGATCTATGTTCCCTCCCAGTGAAATAGGAAGCTGAGTTAGATAGAAATATTATAGATAGGCAGATAGGGCTGGGACCAGACACCTTGAAATCTTGGAGAAGACAGAGGTCTGTTGCAGGCCAGATCTCAAAACAAAAGGCAAAACAAATCCAACCACACCCTAAGTATAAACATCAGGAACTGATATTCTAAATAGGTATCCATCACTTTGTGGAAGCCAGCAGGAGCCATTAACCAGCAAAGACCCTGTTCTGTATTCATGCCCACTTGCTACATGACACCCCATTTGATCCCAATTTAATCAATTTTACCTGAGCAATTACATTTGTAATCTTACTGGTTGACCATAGTTCTGTCCCACCTCATGCCCATCTTGTGCATTCCCATCTTTCCCCATCTTGGACCCATCTCACCTTGTAGTTTTGCTCTATAAAAATCCCTGGAAAAGGCAGGTTCCTTGGCAACCCACTCGGAACTCCTTCTGTCTCTCTCTCAGAAAAAAAACTTTCTTTCTCTCAATAAATGTATACTGCTCCTCACCACCATTGTTCCTAAAATTCATTCTTCAATTTTAGAGAGCATACCGGACACCTGGTAGGTAGGGAGTTTCTTTCCCCTACATCACCAGGAAGCCTCATTCTTTTTAACTTTTCCTTGCTTCTATCAAACTTCACACTTGGTGCATTCCTTCACCCAAATTGTTTCTTTCTCCTTCTCCACTGATGCGATAACAGTTACTTGGCATTCTTGAATGTGTTGCTTTATAGAAAGACACAGAAAAGAAAACCAAAAAAGGCCTGAATCCTACTGAGCACTTCAGCTTCAAAATTCACTTCTGAGGACACAGGCTGTCCTGGGAATGGTTGACCAGAGTTCCTGGGGTTCCAGTATGTAGACCTCAATCCTAGCTCAGTCTCCTCAGATCTTGAAATGCCACAGAGCAGCACAAAGGAGCGAGATATGCTCACCAGTATTTCATGTCACCTTTTAGTCCTGAAAGAACAAAGGTTAGACCATTTCCCTCAAAGTACAGTTTCTGCGCTAACTTTCAGTGTTAGATTTGAGTTCAATGAGAGGATCAGAGAAAGGGTACTTGGGCTTTTTATTTTTTATTTTTCAAACTACCACAGGAAAGTCAGTATGTTGTTTACCTGAATTTTTGGACCAGCTTCTTCACTGACCATCTTCTTCTACCCTTCGCTCCTTCAACAGCAACCAAGCTAAGACTTTAAGATGCCTTCGATGGGGAAGCTTCTCTGCTCAGAGGGGAAGGGCTCAGCCTCCAAGCATACTGTCTGTGCCCCACCCCACCCCTTAGGGGGTTAACCTCATCTGCCGCTGCTCTTCTCCCCCCACCTCTACTTCAGCCACAGGAGTCTCTTTCCTATTCCTAGAACACCAGGCAGGCTTTTAAGGTATTATTCTAGAAAGAAGAAAGACATTTTAACAACACAGTCATAATTTCCAATCATGTCAAGCCCTGCATGTTTTCTGAATTCTAACTCACAGAAGTCTCCTTCACCTAAGATTCATGGAAGGCCTTCGGTACTTATAGAATAAGGATAAGCTGTAAAGTTTCAGGTGGATGCAAGTTTAAAAATTATTAGAACATGTGGAGAGAGGAAATCATTTTTAATTGGCTTCATTAGGACATCTGAGCAGCCTTTACTCTCAGATATATTACTTCTACCTTCATATATTAAGAAATTTAGAGCAGTATCAGACCATCCCCTAGAATGCTGGCTCGCAATCCCAGATCTGCTTGGTGCCCATATCAGTTCATGCTCTGTTCATGGATCTGGAGACTCGAGGGGCCAGGGATGCTCTGCTTTTAAGCCTTTACCCCCGATTCATGCTAGCTGGTCTTCTACAGATGCATTTTGCCCCACTTTTCTAGTCCCTTGCTCTCTAGGTCACTTGACTTGGCAGACCGAATCATTCTTTTAGCTTGTCCCTTGACTTTGTCTGACGGTCCAAATCCAGCCAATGTGGTAGATCCAGACATACATGCATCACTTAGATCTTCTCCGAAATACATGTTTACCACCTGTGGTGAGTGCTATCAGCAGACAGTTCCCAGTGTCACCTCCTTCAAAGACTGCCTCGACTCCAAAGTGCTTGGTGCATCATTATATCTCCTTTGGGACAGCATCAATCACTGATGGCCCGAGAGTGAACTCTCAGAGGATCAGCTTGTGTTATGAGCTCCTTGCCAATGGGCCAAAGCTTCGCCAATCCACTTTCTCTCTCCCTAACCCGTCTCCACTTGCTTTTTTATTTTTAAACAGGTGCTGATTCCTAATAAACATTTTATCTCTCCGAACACTGTGTCATGATCCACTCTGGAGAGCCCATCTGACAATAACCTCCAGCTGTCCTAATTAACAGAAATGTCAAAATTTGAAGACATAGAACAGCAGAACATACATGAGCAACATCATATGGCTGATCTCTCAATGAAGCGATGCTAAGAACAGTGACAAGTCCCAGGTGTATTATCTGTTCTTAATACCAGGTAATGAAAAAAGAAAAGCTACTTTGCTCTCTTATACCTTTAAGCTGAAAGTCTCTTCATTGTCCTTCATTTCAAGTTGATAATTCTTTTACAAAAATCAATAAATCCACGATCAGAGCATAGTTAGTTTCAGAGTGAACACCTAGCAGACCTGTGCTGACCACCTCTTAGAATTTAAAAGGATTTCACCCTGAAACTGGTATATTAAAATAGCCATTTGTCAGATGCTCACTTTCAATATAACTTTCTGTTTTAAATTTTAGGGTAGAAGGGTCCATTTTATTGCAAGATGCAGTGAGTTTTCTTTCAGCATTTCTGCTGTTAGTTTGTACCCAGTCCTACTTTAATGTGATCTTTCTTTACATTACTTGAGGTGAAACTGTCTTTCGTCTGATGCGGTTCATACTGAGGAAACACCTTAGCTGCATCCGAAACCATGCACAGGCATTGCCTTCTTTTTGCCTGAGGGTGACCATAGTTAGCACTTTCTGAATTCCCTCTAGTCATCATGCGATCCTCTGAGTGCCTAATTTCTGTGCCAAGCTGCTTGGCTTGGCCCCTCACGAGCAGTTCTAAATTCCAAAGGCTGCTTGTTTGAAAATTCATGAGCTCCTCAACGATGCAGTTCCTTTTTTGGCTGCCCCACTGCTCAGTTAGTTCAGACAACAAGCTGCTTAGGGATGGATAATTTTTCCTCTTAGCTGCCAAAACCTATTGGGGGGAGGGCTGGTATTTTACTGCTATTGTGGAATTTTCAGAAGTTTGGGAAACAGAGGATTTTATTTTTTTGTTTTGTTTTGATATAGAACATTTTGACAATGGATTTGGCAGGGAGACAAAAAAATCTCCATGCTTGTAAACCAGAATAACATTTGCAGCCATCTGGCTTCCGCGTAGTACCCTGTGAGTGAGATACATATAAAAACAGTTAGCAGCTAAGGTTTAAAATGGCTTTCCCGTTAGTGTCTGAGCTGAATTATCCCACGTTAAAGACACGAGGCAATGAAGGAGCCGCTGATTCTTCATCAGCATACTTACAACAAAAATTGTCTGGCACTGCCTTAATTTCTTAACTTCTCGATCTTTCCCCACTAGCATCATCATCGATCACCCAGATTTGTAGACACGTTTTTCCTACAAGTAACATCTTCCATCTTTCCACACTATAAAATTTACTAAAAGATCCTCTGTATGCCTAGATAGGCTGATTATTTGTCCTATTGACTGTGATAGAGCTTGAATCTATACAGGGAAATTTTAAAACAATATAACTGAATCCCTCTTTTTTACCTCTACATGTCAAGGCATGGTCTTTAAGGATAAGCATTAGGTATTTAAATAGGTTATCTTTAAGTGAAACAAATAAAATGTTTGATTCTAAATACTGAAAGAAAAAAACATGGTTCTTTTAAATCGGAAACTATGCCTTTTATCTCTTTAAAATTATACAGCTATTTAATATAATAATCATCTGCACATATTAAGTTATACACATAGTGTCTCTAACTTGGTCTCTTGTCAATTTCCAGCACAATAACAGGAAAAAAATGACATGCAGTGCCCAGAAACAAATTTAGAGAGGTTATGCTGAGATGAAAAAGCACAAGTGAGACAGTTCAGGAAGAAATTTCTATTTTCTTTATTAAATTTGCCCCCCTCATTCTTTCCTGTCTGCAAAAAAACATGATCTACTAGAATGTGGAAAAGAGGCTTTCTGTTGTCACTTACTTTGTACTTTTTAGCTAAAGTAGCATTTTTTCTTTTAACCTAAGACTTTCAGGGATTCTCAAACTGTCAAGTTTGGAAATTTCGAGCTAGAAGAAATCAGACAACAATCTTCTCAAACACATTAGCATGTTGAAAGAAAATAACGTAAATAGTAGAGTCCTTGGCAACATGAATTGCCCCTGTGCTAGGGCACGTTTTCCAGCGCAGCTACGACATTAACAAGTAATGGTTTCATGCACTTGAGGTGGTGATTTATGAAGTTTCTTCCTGATTTAATAGAGTGCTAGAAAAGATTGTTGTTATACCAACTAAAAAGAATCATAAAGTGGTAATGAATGTTATGAAACTTCATGAATATTTCATCGGATGATGGGCTAGCAGATTTATTTTAAGGTTAAAGAACACATAGACTATAAATCAGACCCACAATGTAGTTACTTAAAGTTCATAGTTGGTGAGAACTATTTACACATTAAGCAAGGCTTTCTGTGGGTGTCTATTCAGTCACATGTTCAAACTCAGCTAAGATAAAGATAAAAAATCAGTTTTAAAATGAATCACTTTTAAAAAGATCATCAAAGATTGCAAGGGAGGATTAGAAGTATTTTTGAAACAAGATTGGCTTTGTTGAAACTTTCTCATTAACATTATTAAGAATTCAAAACTGTAATCAATATTCAATAAGAAGATATCACAAGGCTATTATGTTACTATAAAATGAGATAATGAGCATACATTATTCTTTGGCTATGAATCTCAAATATAATCATCATTTATATTAATTTAATATAACACCAGCTTTAAAGCAATTTTTCATTTGGAATATTTATAGTCAACTTAAAATTCATTACTTATTTTGTTAGATAGGTATGTTTTACTTCTTCTATAGGACCTCAGAGTAATTATTTTTCCCTAGCTCCCACAAATCATATAGAAATAAAATTTTGCTTAATGTTTATGGAATTTTTCTCCCAGCTTGGCAGCTAACTGAAACCAAATCACTTAATTCCATAGATGAAATTAGATTGCCAAAGAGTAACATGGTGTTTAACTGTGGAGATAAAGTTTTGCCAATTCTTTGTGTGGCAATGGAAATGGAAGCCTAAATGCTTATTTGTTTGGCTGGTCCCCAGAAGCAGTTTTAAAGTCGCCTTCTGCCATCTATCTTGCCAGGTGATGGGGACAAAATGGTGGATCAGAAAGACAATATCTCTAGCCTATAAAGCATTTTCATAATGTCACAAATAAGTAATAATTAAGTTGTGATGGCTGACTTTGAGAGGTGTATGAGCACGTGAGAGGAACACACCACATAGGTCAAAGCTGGTATACTGGGAAAAAAAACACCTTTGAGGTGAAAGCAATCTAAATCATGAGTAAAATCATGGAACACAAGATGCAAAGGGAATTTCTAGTTTAGTGTTTTAAGGACTCAGACATATGTCTACCC